GAGTGAGACACACACACACACACTCTGCAGGCACCTCCCCCCCACCTTGGATCTCAGGGTGGGGATGATTGAGTAACCGCGCCCCCAGCTCTTGGGGGGGGGTTGGAGGGATGACTGCCCCCCGCACCCCAGGGCTCGGGGCGGGGTCTCGCTCCCTCAGGAGGCACCGCCCCCTCACGGAGACAATAGGCCCTTTTCCCGCCTTTCCCCTGTCCGACCCCGCCCCCCGTTTGGCGCCAAGTCCCAACGGTGGCCGCTCACAGGCAGCAGCCGAGGACACGTGACGCGGATAGCTCCGCCCCCCTCTGCGCGGCAGGTTTGCCTTGTCGGGCTTCTCTGCCCCCAACAAACATGGCGGAGCCGGGGCCGAGTCACGTGGGATCCCCCGGCGTTCCGAACGGGCCCCCGCCGGCGCCCGAGGAAGGGGCAGCACGTACCGCCAAGCGGGGAGGGCGGCGCGCGCTGAGGGGGAGCGGGCCGGAACTCGGGTCTCCGAGCACAGCCGTTCCCAGGGCCTCCCCCGTCACTCCTCCCCCCCGTCACTCCTCGCCCCGGCGGCGCGGAGCCACGGCCCTGCTGGTCGTCCCGCGCTACCGCCCCCGATATCCAGCCCCCCCGCTCGGACCCCCCCACCGCGAAGCAGGACCGGCCGGCCCGCCCAGCCCGTGCCGCGGTACCTAGGCGGGGGGCCTGGCGCGGGCTCAGCACGGGCGGCAGCAGATTTCATGGAGTCTGACAGGGGCGACGACGGCAGAGTGCAGCCCCCGGCCCCTCCGCCTGCCTATATACCCTGAGGACACGCCCCGGACCCGCCTCGCGGCGCGCGCAAGCCCCGCGGACTGCTGCTCCCAGCGTCCTTCGCGGCCGTCGAGCGCGGGCCCCCTCCGAACCCGGGGCTGCACGGCAATGCTGGGAAACGTAGTCCCCAAGGCGCGCCTCCGCGTGACCGGCGCACGGCCAGCTGGGAAAGGTAGTTTAGAGACGGCCGCGCAGCTTGCTGGGAAACGTAGTTCCGCGGAGCCGCTGGCGACACGGGCCGCAGAGCATGCTGGGAAACGTAGTCGGGGGGAGGGGGAGATACTCTGCAGGAGCTGGCCCGTTGTGGGGACGGACGATGAAAAGAGAGGGGCTGCGGCCGCCGCCATCTTCCCTGCGGCCTCCAGCCTCGGACTCCTTGCAGTGCACCCTGCAGGCCCAGTCCCTACTGGGAGCCTGCACCCCAGGCCTTTTTCCTGCCCTAGCCAGGCCCCTGCTGCAGCCCCCCCCAGCCCCGCTCCTGGGGTCTGCCCAGTGCACTTTCCTTCAACACAAGCCCTGGGGTGGGACTCGCGCCCACTCAGCCCAGCCCCGTGCACTGGCCGAGGCCCTCCCGCTGCAGGTGCAAGCCCCCCCGAAGGTGATCTGCTGCCGCCACTGTGTGCACCCCATGGCACTTCCCGCGAACATCTGCCTCTAATGGGCCCCACCAGCTGAGGGAGCAAAAGCCAAGGCCTTTCCAACGCTCCTTTAACATGGAAGGGAGGTGTGCGCAGTTAAAACATGCTAAAATAGATGAGTGGGTGCTACCCAGCCTAAGGGGGTGTTAACTCCACCCAGGGACAGCACCAGGACTGTTGGGGCTGCCCTTTAGACAAAGTGTACACCACCACCTTTCCCAAGCTGAACATCCCTCCTGCTACCCCAGACCACTAATATTTTGCTCCAACAGGCAACAGCAGTCATAAAAAGTAAACAATGTTCTAAAACGCATAAAGAATAAAGGTGAACATTAGAATAATCCCATCATATCAATCAGAGGTGGGCAAACTACGGCCTGCAGGCCACATCTGGCCCATGGGACTGTCCCGCCCAGCCCTTGAGCTCCCGGCCAGGGAGGCTAACCCCTCGCCGTTCCCCTGCAGCCTAAGCTCACCATGCTGTCAGCGCTCTGGCCTGCCGCTCCTGCTGGGCAGCGTGGCGGTGGGGGGGTTGGATAAGCGTGGGAGTCGCAGGGGGTGGGGGTGTGGATAGGGGTTAGGGCAGTCAGGGGACAGGGAGCAGGGGGTTTGACAGGGGGTGGGGTCCTGGGAGGGGGCAGATAGGCTGTTTGATAGATATCTATGAAGCAAGGGTGTGTCCCCAATCAATACAAGCCTTCCTGCTTCGGGGTATAAACTGGGGGTTAGGAAATTTGGCTACAGGCTGCTTATTCCTTAGTTATCTAATACGGTGTTCCTTGCATTTTCCACTAAAGTACCTGGTACTGGTGGGGGTAATAATAGCTTTTTAAAAATGCTTTAATTAGGTTTCTGGTATTTGCAGTTTTCTAGGTCTAGGTCAAGCCATAAACACTGAACAAATTCTTTATGAGCATACAATTACCAAAAAAAGGGGAAAGAATACATGTAGATTAAATAATTTTCCTTGGAAAGATGTTAGTGTTTAAAGAATAGTATACATAGTACTTTCAACTAGAATATCTGCAAAGAGAAAAATCGATAAAAGAAACTAGTACTTTACCAATCAACAATGAGAACACATTCTAATAGTTATCCATGTTTGATTAACCTAGAAAAGTAATTAAAACAGAGGTTCTTGAAGTCAAGACGACACAGAACAGGAATAGTATGGCTTCATCTTCAACTTGTACAATTGTTTGCTAAAGAAAATGTCTGGTTTCTTAGCAATTACATTAATGCAGGAAAGCACTATAATTCACGTACTGTGGAATATGTTACCAAGGAATAGTGAAAACTCTCCATCCTTTACAGTTCAAATGAAGATTGGATGTCTTTCTAAGAGATACGTTCCAGTTCAACCACAAACTGTTAGGCTCAATGCAGGAATCATTGGATGAAACTTTAATGGCCTCTCTTATGCAGAAGGTCAGACTACATGATCATAATGGTCCCTTCTGGCCCAAAAATCTATGAATTTGTGTGACGCCAAAATTTGTTAAACCCAGCATTATCTTTTTACCATTTTTATACACAGAATCACACTTTCACTTCTCATTTTCTTTGTCTAGTACTATGGAAAAAGAAATTAGTTACTTTTTACCTACTAGCAGTTAAATTATTTTTTTCCTTACAGCTAATGACAGTGTCCAAGTGGCAAGCTCAAAAATTTAAGGCAGCCCTTTGTTTTAAGTTTGAAAATCTAGGCCAACATGTCCCTTTATAATGCCCTGTCTCCAGCATTGTAAATTAACTCCATTTTGCTGGTGGCGAAACTAATTAGGGAAGTTAAATGACTGCACCGTGGCTATAGAATGAATCAGTGTCAAATGGTATTAGAGAGTAAAGGATTACTGCATGCAAGTCCCATACTTACTTCGTAAGACCATGCTGCTCCATACAAATAATAAGGAACAAAAACTAAATAATGTATTGTTAGTCCTGTCTATAGCGACTGAGCCCTTTTAAGGAAGTAGTTCTCAGTTCTAGGACTGAACAAGGGATAGCTTGGCCTGGTTAGTAGGATAGCAGCTGGAATGAGGAGACAAATCAGGCTTGGGAGCTAGGAAGGGAGAAATACGATAATCAGCCCAAAATGAAACATCTGAAAAAGGAAGTAGACTTCCAGGGACAGTCTCAAAAGGAAGAGAGAGCCCTGTTCAGTTTCAGGGCAAAGCTGCAAGGGTGGAAAGTTCTGCAGGCCCTTCCGGGGACTAACTAGGGAGGCTTGAGCAGAAGCATTCAGTAGTGCTAGCACAGGGATTAAAGGAGGCCTGTGAATTCTTGCAGGGGTCCCTGGACTGAATGACAGAAGGGAGAATAACAAACCTGATAGGAAGGGGAATTATTTGTTAGATATACTGTGAAGCCTGCATCTCATCTCTCAGGAGTGGAGCAGAACTGAATAACTATTGATATTGTGAACCCTGGACTGAAGAGGAATTATGTGCTATATACCATGTAAAGCACAAAGGAGGCAGCAGAGCCTCCTTGGTTTATTGCGAATAAAAAGGGGACCTGAAGAAAAAGCATTAAACAGGACCTAAGGCTCAGTATCAGCACTGGTGGACCAGAGGGGAAGAAATCAAACTAGATAAAGTGGTGACCATACTATGTTTTGGCAGGAGTGGGTGCTCAGGGGCGGGGGGGGATTTGTTTCAGGTCCCATCATGCTAAGCATTGTACAAGCATGTAAGATAGATAGTTCCTACCCTGAAGAGCTAACAGGCAAGGCAGGGGAAAGGGGGGGGGGGGGGGAGGAACAAAAAACAAGGTATAGAGAGGAAGTGACTTACCCAAGGTCAGGCTAGAGGACAATAGCAGAGCCAGGAATAGAACTTAACTCAACTCTTCTGACTCCCAGTCCAGCAGCTTCTAGATTAGACCATGCTGGCTACTCAGTAAAGAAGTTGGAAGGGATCTTGTAACAGGCCCTAGGTGCACCTGTGGTATCATTAGGAACTAATCCAGTATCCTCCCAAAATCTGAATTGGATAGCTGCTGCTGTGTCTGGATTAGGTGAAAAGATAGGCAAAGCTTCCAGAAAAGTTCCTTCAGAAGCTGCCAAGGTGGGAATCTTTCAGGACAGGACAACCAGAACTTTTGTTAGATTTTAAACTGAGCATCAGTTAGGAATGGGGATGAACTAGAGCCATGCTGTGCATTTATTTTTCCATAACAGGCAAATAAAGCCAGGGAAGGAAGAGTAAGCTTACAGACCACTGTATAGCTCCAAAGAAATAAGAGAATTATATGAACTAAACCCCCTGTTATTTCAGTTTTAATCCACACACTTGTGAAAGACTTCAGAATTATTTTATGCACATATCCCAATTCAAAACTAGTGTATTATCCTAGTTTTATATTTTCAGAGTCCGTACATCTTTCATGATATAGATTCCCTCGCCTGCCCCCATGGACATCATACATTTCCTCACAGCAGCGAGCATGCAGTGTATTATAAGCAGCCTCATGAGCGCTGATGTAGGTATTACATCATCTGGAGGAAGAGGATGCATTATACATAATATACTATGCTACAAGAAAACCCACAGAAGCCTAATATTTAGAACATCAGATTTTATTTGGAAAGATTTTTGATAAACAATGGCAACAACTACGTTAGGAACAGGTTTCAGAGTAGCAGCCGTGTTAGTCTGTATCCACAAAAAAGAACAGGAGTACTTGTGGCCCCTTAGAGACTAACAAATTTATTTGAGTCTCTAAGGGGCCACAAGTACTCCTGTTCTTTTTACTTTGGGAACGAGTGCACGGAGTCCTATTCTAACACCCAGTTTACTGTAGTTAATAGGGGACATTGAAAGGATAAAAGGGGTGTCCAGCATCTCTTGCTACTAGTTTTCCATTCACCTGTGAAATAAAAAGACAATCTGAGTCAGAAAGATGAAAATCCAGTTCTTGCTTGAAATTAAAAACTGAACCATGCAGAATCTAGTTTCCTTTACATCCCAGTCCTTAGCAAGGATATCTTTAACAATCACTGCTCCCCCTTCTCCCCAAGGCATAGTATTACTAGAAAATCTTTTTCCAAGAGAATTCTCTGTAGCCTGCAACAAATATAACTTTCAGTGGCTAGGGCTTGAGGAATTGGATTAAGAACAATTAGGACTCCTTATTTGCAACATTTATCTAATAATTGCTACAATGTGTGTACTTTGCAAAGCACTTAAAAGATGAATCATTGGTCTAACTCTCAACACTCCTGTGAGATACCATAGAGAAAAGTGTGGTTATGCCAGTTTGACAGATGAATACATTGAGGCAGAGAAGTTAAGTAACTTGCTCAAAGTCACACGATGAGGCAGTGGCAGGGTTGGTTAATGATAATGATAGTCCTGACTCCCAGCCACTAAACATATAGTTGGAAATCCTGGTTCCACTGAAGTCTTGGCAAAACTCCCAATTGGCTTCATTGGGAGCAGGATTTCACCCATGTCCTCTAATTGAATATAGACTTTTGAGGGGGTGGCACTTAAGCATGGCACCAAAAAGCTTCCATATGGAGGAGATGCACTTTTCAAGGTGCCAAGCTCCTGCCAGTCAGCTAACGCTTCCTCTGTGAAGCTGACTACCAGTCATACGCTGCTGATGTTAGAGAGAGATAGATTAGGATCGCTACATGAAAAAACATCTCAGGGATTTTTAAACATATCTACTAGTACATTTTCCACCTACTCTTTTGAAACCAACAGCTTGGATCCCCAATGAATTATTTACAGTGTGTGGTACATCTTGTTCTTCACCCAGGCCACTAGGGGGCACCGGAAACAGTGATTAAAAAGCAGAGGACTAATCATGCATGGAAACATGTTAAGAATTTTACACGTGATTAATCTTCAGATAGAAAAGTGTATTATAAATACATAAAAGTTTGACCAACTGCTGAGTCAGATCCTCCAAACTCTCCATGGACAAAGCAATCTTGGGATCTTTGTGCTTTCTTTTTTTACACTATCTCAAAAGTGATCCTCCTTAGACATGAAAGTCAACAACTCTTCCACACCTTCCAGAAATTCACATTCTCCACTCCTCTCTTTCCTTTCCTCTGTGCTCCCCCATTTCTCAAAGCTGCTCTGTGTAAGACAGCACTTCTTGCAGGTAAGTATGCTTGTTAGCAGTGCACATCTCGCCTTATGAGCCGGGTTCCGTTCCATTCTATTTCTTTGTACTGTACAACTATCTGGCTGAACAAAAAACAACTGGTGGAAATATTCGCTACCCAGTTTCTGGATCTCAAGGGGTTTTTGCAGGGGAGCATCTGCCTTGTATTGGTATTTAGAGGGGGGTTAAAGAGTGGTAGTTACCAAATGCCCTTTCCACAGAAACCTTGAAATAAAAATCAAATATGCACCAAACCAACAATAGCTACTTATTCAATAAAATAAATCACCATGCACACTAGAGAGCTGTCAGTCATGCCTTCCTGCTTTGTGGTCATCTACAGCTCTGCCTAAATGTGTACTTTTGTCATTGATTTTTTTAGGGAAGTATTGACTTGACACTGGTATCCAGTTATGACTACACACCCCCTCCTTCCCCCCGCAACAGGTGCCGATACAACCTTTTGGGGGGGGTGAGGGGGGAGAATTGGGGGGGGGGTTGAATCAGACCACTTATTTAGCCACCTACATATGGATTTAAGAGTCAAACTTTAGATTTTTTTGTAATCTTGTCCTTAATCCGTATATCCTATTAGTCGCTGTGGTTTCATGCTAATGTGGTAAAGCAAGAAAAATGCATGTCCTATCGAGTGTGATTTTTAAGTGCTCAGATGCCATGCTAAAAAACCTAGATAGTATAGATTAGATACATGAGATTTTAAAAGGTAGTTTAATTTTTAAATAAATGGTATTTGGAGATCATGAAACACTTCTTAAAACCATAAAAAAAGGTGGACGGAGGGTCCCACTCCGACGTGGCAATAGATTCCTATTTAAAATACTTCCCATCTCATTTTTTCCTGTTTCATTTTGCATCTTTGAAGCCCAGCTGCACAGCATTTAGCCTCTTCCTAGCTGGATGAGCTAGCACTTTGAACTACCCTCTTTTGTCTCATTATCTGCTTAGTGAATCACCATGATGCTGATAGTTTCTTCCATACAACAAAGGCACCTGAATTATTCCAGCTACCAGGTACATATTCTTAGCATATTTTGTGATTGATTAGTCAACAGCTCTGTTAGCAGCATGAATATCAACACTAGAAAGGACCTCTGTCAGCAACAGGTGTGCCTGCAAACCCTGCATATGCACCCACAAACAGCAATCTGTCCAGGCAAGCTGGTAGGTAAGTCCTTGTATTTTGAGAGGAGAAGAGAGGCTCAGGAGGAATGAGAGAAGGTCAGAAGACAGGAGGCAATCCAGTCAAAGGGGCAGTAAAAGGGTTAGAGATGGAGAGCAAAGGAGAATCACTGGTGTCAGCAACAGGGGACAAGGAGGGAACGGTGAGAAGAAGGGAGGGCCAGGAAGCAGGGAGCATTTCTTCAATCATCCCTCTCTGGGCATTAGTTGTAGAGAGCAGCATCCTCTTCCTTTTGGCCCTTCCGCACTTTTCAAGCCAGCGGGCTGTGCCTGGGCTTCGAGCAGACTGAGACAAGCTAAAGGTGCTTTCAATAGATCAACACTGCCACTACGCTAGCCGTCCAGTACCCTCACGTGCCTCATCTACAATTCCCTCACCACGCTTTTATCTCCAGCTTCATTACCCTAATAAGATGCAATGTTTTGTCCACTGATAGCTCTGGCAGGGGATGATGAAAGGAAGAGCACAGAGACAAAAAACACACACACACACACTTTCTCCCCCGGACCCAGCCAGAGAAACTTACAGTAACCATTGGCACAATGTATCGCCAGTTTTTATTCAGGCTTCCAATGTGATCCATCTCTTCTCCTGTGAGATTAAAGTCAAACACCTAAAACAAAACAAATTACAGGTTTATTCTTGGACTGTGGTTGCCAGTCTCCATAGCCCCCGAACCTTGCCACCCTGTCTTGTTCCCTTTGTAACAATTACAGCCCAACTCCCTCTGATCTGAGCTCCTTCAGAGACCCGACAAACGAGGGGGGTGGCTTGAAGATAAGGGAGGCTTGCACCTGCATGCCTCAGTATACCAACACACAGAATGAAATAGTAACATCTAGAATCATCGACCTGGGGCCCTGCAACAGTACCAATATACACACACAAAGGAACAATAGACCAGAATAATTTAAAATGTAACTGCAGAATGCTTTTGTCTGGACTTTAAAGGAAAAACTCAGTGTAATATTAGAAATTCTAATAACTGTATTTAAATTTAAAAAGGGTAAATGATTAAACAGGGTGTTTGAAACAGTATTACAAAAGAATTAACTATCATACTGGAAGCTGTAGTCTTGACAGCCTCCTGATGCAGAGATTTCATTTTCCACTGGGAAGCACTGAAAATTAGAGATTAAGGGAAAATCTCTCTAAACAGGCCAAATCCTGAAGTTTCTACTTAGTTTGTACTCAAGCAAAACTCAGACTAAGAACCGAGTCAGGATTGGTCCTGTCTTTTTTACATTTGTTCATTAACAGGGGTTGAAGCAATTTGACAAAAAATGAGATACAGGGCTGGCTAAATCTGGAGGTCTTTACTCAGGGCCTGATACTACAGCTCTTGCTCACACTGAATAGCCTCTGTCACAGGCGCTGTCCTATAGAAATCAGTGGGACTGTTTCTGTGAATAAGCGCTAATCAATGGGCCAAATTCTGTTCTTGGTTACTCTGTGTCTACATCAGCGTCATGACGTTAAACTCAATGGTATTACTCAAGATTTATACCACTGTAATGGATGGCAGAATTTGGCTTAATACAAGTAAGAGTTGCAGAATTACGCCCAAGCTTTTAATCTTATCCAGCCAAACTCCCAAGAAATTTTGCCTGCGTAAGGGCTGAGTAAAGATCTCAAGATCTGACCCAGACAGACTTACCTCAAAGTAACTTTAAAACTCTGGTTTCCAGTGACTTCTAAAGTGAAGTGAATTGGCTCAACTGTAGCTCAGGCAGGAGTTTCTTTAAAATTCTACCGTCACTAATCCTATTCCTGCTAAAGAGTATAATTAGAACAGCAGCTGACTGCAGACACCCCAGTCATTGAATGGGAATAATAAAAAAGAGTGGCAGTTCTTTCCAAAAACTGTTTTGCCAATACCATTTTAAGACAAATTACTGTTTACTTATCTAAGATAAGGGCAAACTCCAGTGCTAAGTTAAGAAAGACAAGGGATTTTCATTTAAAAACAAGGAGTGGGTAATCGAACCCTTCTGTCACTCGAAATTTAAATGAGTTTCTTTTCCAAAAATTCTTTCTGCCCGTCTGTGTGTACACACCTGTATGTAACTGGAGAGTTGGTAATGAGTCTTGGGATGAGCACCTTGTTTTTTGTGTTGTGCAGTTACTAACATATTTTTCCCCCTAAGGAAAGACATTTCTTAAGTATTTGCATTGTTAATAAAAGTGCTCCTTTTTGGGGAAGAGCTCTTACCTGGAGATTTTGCAGAATGCGGGCCGGAGTGACGCTCTTGGGAATGGTAACCACTTTACGCTGCACTTGCCACCTATTACACAGGGAAGGAAGAAAACCCTCAACTTCTACACATGCAACCCAAGGGGGTGGGGAGGGACGACAGAAACATCTGTTCTAAGCAAACAGTTCCCTCTTTCACTTGGTAGTGTATGCATTTTACATATATTTACTCCCTCCACCTTGAACCCCTTTCTGGGCACTTGATGGACGTGAGGTGAGCTGGACATGGGTTTACCTTAGAACCGGCCAACACCAATCTTGAGCAGGACAGAATGGTCACTAGACTACTTCATTGAGGGCTGCAGCTGATCAGTTTTGAAAAAACTGAAACAAGCTCAAGATGTCTCAAGCTGGACTGCAAAACCGTTTAGAAAATTTTGGCCCCACTAACTTGCATAAGGTAAACCAGGAAGAGACTCCGGTTCTCTCTAGTCCCTTGAGCAGAATATCATTCTTCCTCTCATCCACCTTCTACTAGCTGACTAACCAACTCCAACTCCACATTTGTGCTGTCGTGACTGAAGATGGGTATGGCAAAAGAGCTCAGGGGCCGGGCAGGAGCGTCCCACGGGCCATAGTTTGCCCACTTCTGTCCTAGATGTTGCTGAGGCCTCTTGCCTCCCATTGACAACTACCATGACTCTTACAAACTTCTCAGCACTGTATAGAATCAAAACCCTAGGCTGGCTTGTGCTGCAGCAGAAATAGAGGAGAAAATAATGGTTTTCCAAATGGAAGAGAGATGAACTAGTAGGAAATTATGTTTTAGGGCTCTTCATGGCTATAATATTCTATTGACAATAAAAATACTGTCTCCGTCAGAACCCCTTTAACTGTGTGCCACTTGCATCAATAGGGCCAGTGCTGAATACCACTCTCACAGACTGTTCAGTACCTGAGGAGGATTTGAGCAGGTGATTTGCCATATTTTTCTGCCAGTTTTTTGATCCCAGATTCTTCTAGAAGTACTGGTTCATCGGGGTGCTTCCACATTCGATCTGGAGAGCCAAGGGGACTGTATGCCATTACTACCAGCCCTCGCTTATTACAATGAGCTATTAGCTCATTCTGAGCAAGGTAGGGATGACACTCCACCTGTTAAGGCAACACACAGTGAGCAAACCTCAATAAAAAGAGCCAACAACAAAACAGGAGTCTATGTGCACAACAACAGAACAAAAAGAGGACTGAAGTCTGTTTCGGTTGTTGGGATTCCCATGATATAATAGTTTACTGCTAGCAGGAATGTGAAGTCACCTTGGCAAAGGAATTAGGCTGCATAGCTAACTAAGGGGAGGTAGCTGCGGGCAGGGATTTCTACAAGTTACCCTCACCTACCTTGTATGAAGATACTAGAATTCTCTGTGCAAGATGTGAACTTGAATTCAGACAGACTCAGCGTCCCCACAACCTGTATCCTGGTACAACATGTAACAGAGGATTTGACCAATTGGAAATACTTTTTTAGCTGAATGGCAAACTTCTTGCCTTAGCCTGAGAAACTACTCGATCCACTAAGAACTCCCATCATGCCCTAAAATGCATTTATTGAGCAAGCCTGTTTACACAGCACTCAGTATAACGGAATGCAGCTGGTCAGCTTAATCCATGTTGGGTCAGTGTTGTAAACAGATTTTTAGAATAATTTCCCTTTTTTTTTAGATCAGCTGCCTTCAGTAGCATTGATTCTGAGGCAATGTTGACTTGCCCACACACCCTACCAGGAGTAGGTAAGATTGCCATTCCATGGCTTCATTCCCATCTCTTAGATAGCGCCTGCAGGATTGTATCTACCCCTTGAATTGTGAAGGTGATGGCTATTTGTTACAGAGTGATCACAATCAGAAAATTGCTGATTCCCCAGCTGCTGTTAAATGAACATAACCGCAATGGCCACGATGGCTGGTTTGAAATCTAGGTCTCTCTAGGATGCTGTGACTTCCCCCCCCTCTCCCCAGATGAGGCTCTTGCTGCTACAATCCGTGCCTTTGTCACTGCAAGATTAAGCTACTGCAATGCACTCTCACCATAACCCCACTCAGAGTAATGCTGGCGTGGAATGCAACAGCCTGCATGCTTAGTGGAGTTTCTCATCATGAATACTTGACACCAGTGTTCACGCTCTGCCCTGGCTGCTTATTGGCTTCCAGGCTGAGTTTAAAGGTGTTCGTTCTGGCCTAAAAAGACCTAAATGTTCTGGAACTTTCCTACCTGAGGAAGGGCCTTTCTCCATGGTCCTTACCACTTCAGCTGTGATTAATGGAAGCGCTTCAGCTGAAGCAGTACAAATTAGACCAAGAAATCCTTGAAGGCAAACTTTTCTTCTATTAACTTTATTTGGCAAGGCTGGCATAAAGGGTTGCAGGACAGGCATAAACCCATCCCCCAGGGAATTGCCCCAGCACAAGGGATTCCTGTGTCTGGCACTGATCTGTGCCATCTCTGCAGGAGTGTTGGTTACAGGGGTCATTCTGAGGAAGGTAAGGGGCAGACAGGGGGCATGGTCACGGCATTCTTGCACTCCAAGTATTCCACACTCCTGCAAAGCTTCATGGGGACTACACAAGCGAGGGCAGCCCTCAGAACTGCACTAGTCTGCACGCAGGGTGAAACCCATTCACGCAAACACATAAATAGGGTGGGAGCCCAGGCCTGTCCCTGCGCTGGTGCCTGCTCCAGTACAAGTCTAATTCTGCTCCTATGGTCATACATCACAATGCACATTATTTGTGCTCTACAAATAGTGGTCATATGAGCTCACTCCTCATATGGATAGGATCTGCATAAAGAAGAGTAGACACTAATGTCCCTTTCCTGCACAGACTTTGCCCTTTCACACAGAGGTCTGTTCCCACTTGCCTGCCCGTGTCTCACCTGTAGTACAGCGGGTTTGACAGCAGCCATGCTGAGGATGTCATCAATCTGACGGCTGTTGAAGTTGGACAGTCCAATGGCCTTCACCAGACCTTTCTCCACCAGCTTCTCCATAGCCTTCCAAGTTTCCTTGTAGTCAATGTAGTCAAAACGCATCATGCCATCAGGGTTCTTTGGGAAAAGAGTATCTCCTCGTCTACAACATTGCAAAAACACAGTACAAACACAGTGCATGGAGATTTTTATTACAGTAAATGTCCAGTAAAAGAAATATTCTTTAAAATACTTGTAAAAGTCCAATACATGCTTTACAAGGCACTGTGTGAGATAAGCCTACATCTCCTTTAGATTCCAATATGCTTATTTACCATATGGAAAACTGGTTGGTATATGGTGTCTTTCTTAGTCAAGGTAACTTACTATAGAGTACTCAAAGCTATCTACCTATAATGCAGTGACTATATGAGAACATGGCCGTCATTATACACTCAAGCAACAGTTCATCCACAGACTCTGACCTTAGAAAATATTGGATTGAAAAAAGAGAACGTTTGCCAGGACAAAGATAATCCCTTCATAGTTTTTGAAGATTCCTACAGGAATTTTAAACTTCCATCTGGAGCCAGCCTGCTACCGAAGGGACTTTGGTTTCACATTCATCCAGAAGAGGGCGCTTGGAATAGTCCAATATTCCCTTTCCCTGGCACTGTACTGCAATGTCAGCAGTGGATAGGAGCTCAGCTCCCAGTGGGAATACGTCTTAAAATAAATAAATAAATAAATCACACCTTCCTGCTCCTGGGTTAGGAGTGTTTCCAATTAGCCATAGCAACACATATAACACACACCGAATCCGGCTGGCCTGGTGGCACAACAGTGCATTGTGGGAGGTATAAAACTGGATTCTGCTGAACGCAAGATGGGACGGGGCCTGACCAAGCTATTTAAGGAGCATCTCCGACTAGCTGCACTGCTGCCTCAGTCTTTGGAGACACACATTTCCTATACTCCCCCAGTTGAAAGGAAAATGTTGGGATTGCGAAAATGGCAGGAGTTGGGAGTGAGGGATCAGGGGCATCAGACTGAGTGGGAGGGTTCTTGCTCAGTGAGTGGGTAGACTGAGCACCAAATATAATTTAGAATACAGTCTTATGAGATGCTGTAGGGGGAAAACAGCATCACATGTCAACAGAAATGCTCCGGAAACATGGTTTCACTTCTAGCTTTTTGTGTATTGGGGTGAGAGGATTCGTCCTCAAGACCCATGGACACTGTGGTTCTAACTGAAAGTATCAGTTCCCATTTAAGTACAACCCTTCAGCTCAACTTCCCCATACATTTGTTTTACATCTGATCATTCAGAGACTAGAACCTTTAATGCATTGCCTCACTAAGTTACCTAAAGGGATATACTTAGTGCTGAACAGTCTTTTCTTGTATCACTCACAATATGCTACTCATTGTCCAGTTCGGGTCACATGACACTTCTAAAAAATGGAAATGCCTCTTTGGGCGCTCCCAGGAGCCAAGAATTTGAGTTCCTCTGAATCTGATAGAGAGCTGGCCTGCTGAGAGGATCTCCTGTGTAATTGATCTGACAGAGGCTCACACTTAAGTAATAGCAGGTCACATTTAGTCCATCCTTCTACAGCTATAGGATTGGCCCCTACAGTGTATACTTAAGGGTTTTACCCAGTCCAATATTAAATGACTCAAACCCAAGCTTAAGCCTGATGGGACTTCACCATTCCCCTGGGAGACTATTCCACACTAACAGATCTTACCTTCGGGAAGATTTTTCCTTCATGACACGTCAGATTCTCAGCTGGTGTAAACGGACATAGCTCCATTTAAGTCAATGTAACTATACCAGCAGGGATGTGTTTCATTAATCCTGTTACACCTAGTTAAGACACTTCTAGCTAACTCAGGGCTGGTCCACACTAACCCCCCAGTTCGAACTAAGATATGCAACTTCAGCTATGTGAATAACGTAGCTGAAGTCAAAGTATCTTAGTTCGAACTACAAGGTACTGACCGCGGGTCCACACGCGGCAGGCAGGCTCCCCCGTCGACTCCGCGTACTCCTCTCACGGAGCAGGAGTACCGATGTCGACGGCAAGCACTTCTGGGATCGATTTATCGTGCCTAGTCAAGATGCGATAAATCGATCCCAGAAGATTGATTGCTTACCGCCGAACTCGGAGGTAAGTATAGACGTACCCTCACTCAGATCCCAAGGCCACCTAGTGCTGTGATTTGGGAGGTGTGACAGATATATGGACACATGGAATATTCAAAGGCTACTAGACCAACTTTATAAATATTATATGTAATCTGTATGGGCCAAGAATTTGTTTAGCTCCATAGGGGAGTTACAGGAATTTCTTGCAATAACTACAATCACTGGGAGATAATTAATACAAATTCCTAGACACTGTCTAGGAATTTGTATTATTAATTATCTCCTGGGGGAAAAGTCCCCTGCCCTCACCACCCCCTGCAAATTTCATATACTAGTTTGAGCTGGTTAAGGACAGCTAACAAAGAATTGTGACTGTATAAAGTTATCAGCCTGACACTGGGGCGGGGGGAATGGTGGGGTGGGGGGTGACACTCTCACTCAATCCAAGAACTGACATGACACTGTGACCAAAAGGGACAGGCCCTGTGGGTAGACTTTGAAGTACTTTGTTCCTATCATGATCTCCATGTGGAAGATCTGTCTGGTAAACCAAAACCTGCATTTACTGTTTTTAACATGTTTTCTCTGTAATGCTTTTGTTCTGAATAAATACTACTTTGCTTTCTGAAGGCCGGCTGATCACTGGTTAACCCTGGCACTGCCCCTGAAAGAACAGGACTGCTGGTGCTGAACTGCAGTCAGATCTGCTAAGGTAATCACAGGGAATTGCAAATCCCCTGTCTAGGAGTCGTCCCGAAAAAGGTGAGGCCTGAGACCTAAGTGGGGGTGCCCTTCTAGAGGCAATGCAGGGGTCAGAGGTGCAGTTATCTAGGGAACTGTGACAGTACGTATCTAGTAATCATGAGGATTCCACTGCCTCTCTGAAAACTGCTTCTGCTCCCTAATTGCTCTCATTATTAATAAAAATTTAGTGCAGTTTAAAAGTCAGATAAGACTTAATTTCAAGTTTAAATCCATTATTTATAGCTTTATAATTGCAAACTAATGAGAACAATTATCAGGAGGAGATATCCATCTTCCTTGTAGACGGTTTCCAGATTTTACTAATGCTAAAACTCATTTCAAATGCAAAGAACTGGGATGAACTGGAAACATTCTTTGTCTATCTGTCCTAATGCAAAATGCATATACACATTTGGAGGGACAGCAGTCGGGGCCCAGACTAGACATTTCAAGCTCACCGTACTAACAACGTCAGGAAATACCTTGCAGGCAATATCTGTGGCAAGAAATTTACAGCTGCACAGTAACTAGCCTCCATTTATAAACAGATGGTCTGCACTACGTTTATACTTCCTGCTCTCCTCCCATGCCGAACTCACTCGAAGGCATGTGGCCAGTGCATGAGATACAGATCCAGGTAATCCAGTTTCAGATCTTTCAGAGATTTCTTTAAGGCTGGCTCCACATCTTCTGGGTGGTGCTTGGTATTCCATAGTTTCGATGTCACAAATAGCTCCTCCCTCTTAACAGGCTTTTAGAGACAGAGGGGAAAAAAAAACATATTGGCACAGGTTCACATCAAAGGCGTATCTGAATACAGTCAAAGGCACTAGTCAGAAGAGGAATGGCCAGTGACTCCTTAGCCAACTCCTAAGGCAAACAAGCACCAGAGTGTAATTAAAATAAAGAAAGGAGTAATTTAGAACCTATGAATGAGATTTTTTAGAAATGCATGGGATGCAGAATGGTAAGAGAAATAGGTTTTTATATTGAAAAGTAAAGTTCTAAAATATCTCACAGCCTCCCTTCCTATCTCCAGATACTTTTTGAAACTTAATGGAAGTTTTGCAAAACCACAAAAATGTCTCTAAGTTCTCCCATCACTAATCTAAATATTGTCCTCTAAACTAATTTCAACAAGAATTATTCCCACAAGCAAATTGATCTGATTACCCGTTACTGAACTACACATGGCCAAAGCGGATAGACTATTCCATTTACGCAAATGTAAATTGTTATTTATTTATATTTCTGTTTTATGCCCATGAGAAAGACCCAACTAGCTTCTGTAACTTGCTGAACTCATGACATATTATTTTCCAAGAGTGCTACTCATGGAAACAACAACAAAAATAAAAATAACCCCATAAATCTTCCTACTTGGACTTTTGGCAAGTGCAAGAAATGTGTTTCAAGTACTTTGCCCAGCTGCTTAAAGCCCAGCATATGAGGTTAAGCAGCCTGATGTTTATAAATAAATAGAAAATGTGTATGTTACATACTGTATACAAAGGGTGAAATCCTGGCCTCATTGAAGTCAGTGGAAGTTTTGCCATTGACTTCAACGGAACCAGGATTTCAGCAGACTCTCTGAATAGGAAACGGATACATAGGAGCAATACCTATAATTTTCTTAGTTTGTTTTTTCCATATCGATTTCACTGTTATTTTTGTGCTTGACCTATGGTGTTCAGAGAAAATCTAAAACAAATAATATTTATAAACCACTCTGGCATTTTAAAAAGTATCACTGGATTCAGTCTGGCTAGTAGAAGGTCCTATCCTTCCCTGTATTGGTTATTCCTACCTATCTTGCACCAGGAGGGATGGTGCAAGCTGGGGGAGAAAAGTTGGAGAGGACAGCTGAAGTGGACTGAAAACACTTATATCAATGCTTCAGAGAGGTTGCCCAAAAAAAAGCATGGAGGAGCTCCTTCCTCCATACAGGCTGAGCACACATTTTTAATAGGCCCTCCCCAGCTCCTCTTGGCTCCAGTAGAGAGGTGCTGAGTTTAAGACTCAGGCAGAGGTGAAAGTAAGCCGGTCCGGTATGGTGCCGGACCAGACTGTCTTCCCCAGGCTGGCGATTTAAAGGGCCCGGGGCTCCCCGCAGCAGCTGGAGCCCTTTAAATCGCCTTGGGAGCCCTGCTGCTGGAGCCCTGGGTAACGGGGCCAGGGCTCCAGCAATGATTTAAAGGTTCTGGGGCTCCTGCCGCTGCTGGGAGCCCAGGCCCTTGCCGCCGCTCCCCGGGGCTCCGGCAGCACTTTAAAGGGCCCGGGACTCCCCGCAGCGGCCGGAGCCCCTGGCCCTTTAAATCCCCATAGGAGCCCTGCCGCCGCAACCCCGGGACTCCGGCAGCCGGGCTCGGGCGGGGAGTTAAAGGGCCAGGGGCTCCCCACCGCCGGAGCCCCAGACCCTTTAAATCACCACCCGAGCCAGGCTGCCGGAGCCCCGGGGTAGCGGCGACAGGGCTCAGTCAGCAATTTAAAAGGGCCCAGAGCTCTGCTGCGGTAGTGGTGGTCAGAGCCCTTTAAATCGCCCCTGAGCCCAGGGACCGGCTGAGGGCGGGGGGGGGGGGAGAAGGGGAGGGAGTGGGCAGGAGAGAGGGAGAAGGGGGCGGCCAGGGCTACAGCAGGGGCGCTGCCACGCGGCCCCTCCCGCTGCGCCGTCTCCTGCCGCGAGGGCTCCGCTCCAGTCGGCGGGGAGGGAAGGAAGAGGACTGCCCTGGTTCTCCGCGCCGCCGCCCCCTACAGGGCGGCCGGAGCGGAACAACAACAACAAACAAACAAACAAAACAAACAAAAAAGCGTCTTTGCCGCCCTAGGATTGGGCAGAACGCCACCTCCAACAATCTGCCACCCCAAGCACCAGCTTGCTCAGCTGGTGCCTGGAGCTGGCCCTGGCTCCGGGGGGTGATTTAAAGGCACCATCTATTCCGGTTGAGGCCACGCCCCTGCTCAGGACTCCGGCGTACCAGTAAGTCCTTTAACTTATTTTCACCCCTGGACTCAGGGCTTGTCTACACTTGAAATGGGAGGGGTTCTCCCATTGGCGTAGGCAATATACCTCCCTGAGAGACAGTAGCTAGATCGACTCGATCTAGCACGGTCTACAGCAGGGGTTTAGGTGGTCAGCTTACACTATGTTGCTCAGTGGTGTGGATTTTTCACACCACTGACTGATGTAGCTGGATTGACCTATCTGTTTAGTGTAGACCAGGCCTCACACATAGATTCCCCCATGTTGTGTTGCGTCTAGGCTGACGAGCTCAAGTGACTTTTTAAAAAGTATGACCAAGATTTTCAAAAGTAACTAGTGATTTGGGGCATGTTTATTTTTGGGTGCCCAAATTGGGACACCTTAAAGGGGGTCCCTGAAAAGCAACTGCAGAGCAAAAAAGGCTCCTTCTTACTCTCCAGGTTCCCGGTTTGCATTCTGAGCAATCATCTGTTGTAGTGAGAAAAGATTTTACTAAAGTCTGGCCTGAAAAACCAGCATAGATTTGGGAGAGAAAATTCTATCTAACCTAGAAATAACTAGGATACATTAATATGCAGAACTTTGCAATGCCATTTTTACAGAGTCCCTTTTCAGGGTAGAGCTGCAATTTACAATCCAGTTTACATTCACTGATCCTTTTTCACCTTATCTGGCCCGACACTCTCCTGGAAGGCTTCACCTATCTCTGCTTCATTGCTGTAAACTGTAGCACAGTCAACGTGACGATAACCTGCACCGAGAGCATACTTCACTGCCTCCTTCACCTGTAATCACAAACAAATACAGATTAAATCAGCATAACCAATGGGAAGATCTGGTTTATTTTGAAGAAAAAGCTATTGTAGATCCATAATGAGCATTTTTTTTTTTTGTTGAGAACTAGATGTGCCTCGATGCAAGAGCAGGACAAGTTGAGAAGTACTCAAGGAGCCTTCTGCAGCCCTTGTGTTCATCTGAGTACAAGGACTATGCAAGGCAAGCGCTGTTAGGAAAGCATTGATCCTCCATGCAGGCATGTAGAGCTCGCTGGCCAAAGATGGCTATTACCCTTAAGGAATGGCACAGCTGCCATATTCTCCCTATGTGCCAAGAAGCTCCTACTGGTATAGTCCCAGCCACCTTACAGCCAGTGCCTGTAAGCACTATCCAAGATTATTAGAGTACAGGGCTTTGTTAAATTCCTCACACTGCATTTCTGAAATGTAAGGTTACTTTATTGGGATGTAATCTGCTCCAATGCACGTACCAGGATCTCCTATGGTTTTGTTCACTTCCTATGCTCTCCTCTACTCCAGAACAATGAAAGCCACTCCACTAACAAAGTCTCCGCACTGAAGCGCTCACACCCCTGCAGGGCATGCCTTAGGAGTGTAGTAAGCCTAGAGACAAGCTAGTAGAGTGCACTCTCCAGACTTCTCAGGCTGCTTTTGGGTAAGAAAAAATAAAAATTCAAACCCCATTATTCTATAAGCAGCAAGAGACTGCTACAAACAATGATGGCCCGTCCGTGGGCAGAGAAGGTAAGGCCTATACAGAGTCATCTTTTATCTTAGCTGCCCATGGGGGACCATTTGGCCAGTAGTTATATAGTCTCTTTTAGGATGATCCAGACCTAAACACTGGGTCTATTTTATCAGTGTGGGAAGAGTTAGCATCCTGAGCTAGCACAGGCTTTTGTGGCTGTGATATGCTTCCACCCGTGGAAACAGAGGAAGTTAATCTCTTCCTACATTGTATTGTTATTTTGCTACTTTGTCTGTGCAGATGGTAAACTTTTCATGGCAGGGACTGTCTCTTGCGAGGCATTTGTATAGGGTCTAGCACTTGGGGTCCTGATAGCTTTTCAGTGCTCCCTGAAGGTCTACACAGCAGCTGGGAGGGTGCTTCCCAGTGCAGGTAAACGGACACAGGCTAGTTCCACTTGAGCTGGCATGCTAAAAAGAGCAGTGTGGCCATGGTGGAATGGACTAGCCACCCAAGTACATACCCAGAGGGTCGGGCAGGATAGTACTCGGGTGACTGACCTGTGCTGCCAAGGCCACGCCGCTATTTTTAGCATCCTAGTTGAAGCAGAACTAGCCTGTGTCTGGCTCCCCACGCTGGGAAGCACTCTTGCTGTGTAGACATACTCCCAGTGCTACCAGAATACAAATAACAAAAATATTCTCATGTGGTATTCCCGTAAGAAGAGAAAAAACAGAATTTCCACAGGATACAGAGACAGTTAAAGAAGAAACAGTGAAACTAGATGATCTTTTAACTAATTTATCAAAGCACCTGCATTTTCCATTTCAAAGCCAGTGGAATAATTAATACTGAGGAAAGACAATAAAACGTTCTGGTTTACAAGATAGATTTAAAAGATAAATCAAGTATGGAGTAGATCTCTATTGGCTCCTGCTAGATTTTATTTCTTTTAGTTGTTGAAACGAAAGGGGAAGCTACATGCAGGATATTTTGATGAGGTTCTTTGGTGTGTTAAGACAATATCTGCATTGAAGAGAAAATTTCCCTTAGTCACTATGACCAAAAAAAAAAAGTTTTTCCTTCTTCTTCAACACGGACAAGATGTATAGGCCTTACTTTCACTATGACACATACTTTTCTGTTGAAATGGTTACTACAAACAGTGCCTGGGTTATGAAATCACTCAACATGTTAATGTTTTATGCAGTCCAATCACCCCCAAAGAGAACAGAACAATAATGACTTATTGATTATAGAAAGCCATGGAGCAGAAGCATCTGCTCCGAGAAGGAACTTAAACATGTTCCATAGTACAGCTCCAATCCATTCCCTGTCCCCATGGGCAATGGTGTCTATTAAGATGGAAGGATAAAGAGCAGGAAGATAGATGTGTGTCAGTAATTGTTCAGGAGAATGAGGACACAGAGGACTTGATTTTGAAAGCTCTCTGCAAAAGTGCCACTGACAGATATTGGAACTGCATGCACGATCTTTGGAGACCATATTGTATTAAGTTTATGTATAATCGTGGGCCATTGATTGTGTCCTACTCCATCTGCTGAGGTTACAACAGCTCCTCCAGGAACTAAAAACAACAGGGGAAGGAGGGGGTGATTAAGGCAAGTTAATGAAAGTCTAAACAACCCCAGAGAAGTACCACCCCTGGGGAGACTTTCATATACAGATTCAAACTGGGTTTTCAGGAATCAGACAAAGAGAGCCCTTTTGATATAATGAGGCTGAGTTTAAACTGACACAGGGCCTACTTTCTGATCCTGCAAACAAGCAAACTTTTGTCCACGGGGCCCCAATCTTGCTGAAGGGTTGGAAAGACTTTGGCCTACGAGGATTCCATAAAATGGATGGGTAACCTCTGGTAAGCTTTTAGCCTGCATATAGAACGTTTATTGCTTTTACATGTTTTCTCTGTAATGCTTGTACCCTAAGAATAAATGTGTTTTGCTCTGTGAAGGCTGGTTGGAAACTGATATATGTTTAGAACCCTGCAAATCTGCAGATATCTGCAGACCATGTTTGTGGATTGCGAATGGATGTGGATCCAAATATTGTATCTGTGCAGGGCTTTCTCTATATTGTTGTAGCCCCTGGAGAAAGGTTAACCACAGGCACTGGACCATGATCAGACCTGCTGCGGAAATCACAGCGAGGTGCAGGACTACAAGCCTAAATCCCTGGTCTAGAGGGAGAGAGATGTGGGTCTCTGTCCAAGAGAGGTGACACCTGGGAGCCTGAAACCTTAAAAGTGGATGCCCTCGAGGAAGAACCAGAAGGAAGGGGTTGTCAAAGATGCAGTTAACCCTGAAACTGTGGCAGTCACATCCAAACCAGCACATGAACCCCCACAGACAAAGTGATTTCTTAGGCAGTGCCTAAGGACAAAAAGCTCTGGACATGCCTTTACAAGACAGCTTAAACACGGGGGTGCCGTCTCCCGCCTACATGTGCAAGTTAAATTTCCAATACTGGGAAACCAGGACTGGTCATTTCACAAGGCTTATAGATTTAGTCAAGATATTTGCATGTGTCTTTCCTGTCCTGAGAGATACTAAAGTTTTACAGTTTGAACTGCGTGAGTCACTGTTCCACACAAAGGCAAACATCCTAACCAGGTTTCCAGATCTGCTAAAGACCTTTATTGAAAGAATCTGAGAGAGAAGATATTTCTAACCTGAAAACAAGATTTGAGAATAAGAATAGTACTTAGTAGTAGTATTAATAATTCCTAGATGTTATACAGCTCTACAACTATAAATCTCAAAGTGCTTTACTAACAAAGTAAGCAACAGCACCCCCGTTTTACAGGTGGGGAAAGTACACTGCAGGAAGGTGAAGTGACTTGCCTGCAGTCATCCAGTAGGCCAGTCTGAGACCTGGGCTCTATTCCTGGCTCTGACAAGTCCTAGTCCAACAGTCTATCTATTAGGCCACACTTCCTCCACAGAGTGCTTTATTTTTTCAAAGCCCTGTACAAATATTAACAAATTAATCTGATTGAAAAACTGGTTAACAGGATTAGTTCTCATTTTGTCAGAGTAACAAGCATTCCAGAGAAACAGGTTTGACAGGAGTATTTAGAGGATCAAATACCTTATAACTATGGGCTACCTGTTGCAGTAAAGGTAGCTATTTGCCCAAGGACAAAAATGGACAACAAAATGGCAGATTAAATTAATTGTTGATAAATGCGAAGTAATGCACATTGGAAAACATAATCCCAACTATACATATAAAATGATGGGGGTCTAAATTATCCGTTACCACTCAAAAATGAGATCTTGGAGTCACTGAGTGGATGTTTTCAGAGAACTATCCACAATGTGCAGCGGCAGTCAAAAAAGCTAACAGAATGTTGGGAATCATTAGGAAAGGGATAGATAATAAGTAGGGCCCTACCAAATTCATGACTATGAAAAATGTGTCATGGATAATGAAATAAGCCCTCCCCTGTGAAATCTAGCTGGGGGGGGGGGAAAAGATGACTGGGGGGCCCCCAGCCAGGGGCTCCTACTGTTCCCTGGGCTCCAGCTGCTAGTCCCCAGGCTGGGGAGGGACAGAACTTACTCTTCCCGTGCACAGCTACTCTCAAGGGGGAGATCAGACCCACCTCTGGGTACCTCCCCTTGCCGCAGGAAGCAACAAAATTATTAGGGGTATGGAACAGCTTGAGAAAAGAGACAACTAAGGGGGGGCGATTGTGACAATGCGGTTCTGGCGGAACCCAACTGAGAGTGCCAACTCAG